GGTGCGTCTTATACTCTGAAAAATACAGTATCCAATTAGGCCTGAACTCTAGTCAAGATTGAAAAGAGGAAAGAGTGAAAGAGCTCTTCTGTATTGCCCTGCTAAATATTGACAATTTAGGTGTCCATCAGGCTCCTGTTACTTGCCCCAGCTCCTGTCAACATAGCAGTTTGAAAGCATGCAAATGCGAGTAGATAAATAGGTACCACTTTGGTAGGAAGGTAACAGTGCTCTGGGGGCCTCGGTGTATAGTCATGCTGGCCACATAACTACAGAAGTGTCTTCGGACAAGGTTGTCTCCCTTAGCTAAAAAATGGAGATGAACATTACCCACTACAGTTGGGCGCGATTGGCCAGAGGAAACCTTTACCATTTTAGAAGATCACAACCTTGAGATGTTGGAATAGCTTCAGGGTAGTGTGGGGTCCTGCCAGTTTAACAACTGGTTCCGTGATCACATGTTTTGTGTGTGCCACTGTGCCTGATGCACACTGTGCGAGTGTTTGCAGTTTTACCAAAACGTACCTTCCACGTAACTTCTTGGAGTAACACAGTTGAGGCGTGCCAATCCACTCTGCCACACTAATCAGCTGAGAGGCTATAGGTAAGTAAAATGGCAAGGGCTGGTGGGCAGGCCAACCTGATTGTTCACAGAGAACCGGATCGCTCCAGTGGTAGGTTCCTCTCGCCATCGCTACTGGTACACTGTGCACGGAGCCGGGTGTCTGGTTGTGCATGCGCACTGCACATGCATGCACACTCCACTGCCCATGTGACACCCAGCTGCTTGCGCTGCACATGCATGAGCACTCCACCGCCCCTGCGACACGCAGCTGCTCGTCAGATGTTGCACAGGCACTGCACACTGTGTGCAGATGTGCAATTGGCTTGGTTGCTTGAAAAATAGGTATGGAACACGGCTGGGCGGGTGAGCCAAACAAGCCACCATACCGGTACAGTGGCCACTGCTCCTGGCTACTACCTGTATACCTGTACTGGGCTGTACTGGCCGGAACCCACCACTGGTTTGCTCTCAGCTGATCATCGGAGCCACTGGTTCACCCAAACTGGTCCGAACCGCCTGAATCCCACCCCTGCTTCAAGGACCCTGAGAGAAACATGGAGTAGGGTCACTTTTGCTGGTTAGAAGGAAAGAGGAAGATAGGACCCAATAGGAGGGAAGGCATGTGGGTTTTCCACGTGTGACTGGAGGCAGCACACTTCAGAGAAGGGATTCTAAATCAAGAAGGTAATGGAAAACCATTTGTGTATTGTTAAAAGAAAAGCAATAGCAATAGCAGTTAGACTTATATACCGCTTCATAGGGCTTTCAGCCCTCTCTAAGCGGTTTACAGAGTCAGCATATTGCCCCCAAC